TATATATATATAGGCACAATAATACTGACTGTAATGTTGAACAAGCTGAACTAAAGTAAGGAAAATGACCCTAAACTCTTCCACATCCATGTTGTTTCCAGGACTTAGTAGCAGTTTTGTTGCCAATCTTTTAATATAACATTAAAAAAGATACCATACCAACTTTACTTATAAAGCACTTTAAAACAACCACAGCTGATACAAAGCGCTGTACATTAAAACACAACATGATAAAAAAGTGATTAAAAACGGTTTAAAAACAAAAACATACAATTTAAAACTCAATCCTGCTGGTGTTGAAAGCCAAGTAAAATAGATGGGTTTTAAGATGAGCTTGAAAAGTAGATAAAATAATGTCTGTCTTTAGGATTCTACCTGTTTATATATTTGTTTATTGTGTTGAGAACTGCAGACCCGTCCTTTCCTCGAGAATATCACATTCGTGGGTAATGGAGTGCATCAGTCAMCTGGGATTATTGGTGGGTAGGAGCTGACAGCCTGAAGGTGGCTGCAGGAGGAAAGGATGTGTGTTCACTGAGCTGCGGTGTTTTATTTATTTATTTATTTATTTTTTCTTGGACATGTCTGGTCATTAATCAGTGTGTGGGAAGTTTTTACCTTCTCCAAACTAAAAAACTCTCTCCCAGAGGGTTTCTAATATCCAAGTTGTCTATTTCAGAGGGGGGAAAAACTTGACTCTTTTTATGTATGTGTGTAATATATGCACAGATACTTTTGTTAAAGAATAAGTTTGAACAACTGAACAGTCATGTCCACAGTTACTGCTGTGGGCGGCTCGGGTGGGTGATGGTCTGCTTTACCCACACAGCACATTKTCATAGCTGCACAAAAGGCAGAGGTCAAGGATGGACTGTGAGTGTTTAGGACTAAATGGATCTCTACATTAACAGCTTCCTGAATGTTTCTCTTGTTTTCACTACCTTTGATTTATTTATTTATTTATTTATTTATTTATTTATTTATTTACGTCTCCCCCACAGGGTAAAGACCTTCTGACTCAGAAGATCCCAGTGTGGCAGCAGGCCTGTTCGGACCCAAACAAACTGCCTGAGAGGGCAATGCTTCTGGCCCAGCAGATGGGTTCCGGTGCTCTTGGGGGCACAAGTCCTCTGCACACTTCCAAATCCAACCTGGTGATCTCAGACCCCATCCCAGGGGCTCAGCCTCTTCCTATCCCGCCGGAGCTGGCTGTTTTCATGGGGAGTGGCCTTGGACACCCAGCGGTGAGGAAACCAAAGGCTTTATTTATGTTTCAAGTTGAACCTCAGGCGCCTGTGACGTGCATTCTTCACATTCTAAAAGTTAAACACCTTTTGTATTAAAAAAAAAATAACATAACACACACAATTTTACCTATTTTGTCAATACTTGGCATATTTCTTTTAAACTTTGCTCCAAGTGAAACAGGAAGTGACATCRATTCATTAAGGGAACTCCCTTGTCTTATTCATCTCTCTGATCGTGATGAAAAATAATCTAAAGAAACACCAGATTATTCTCTCCTGTCTTTGTTTTAGTCYTTGTAGCAACACTTTTTTACATGTCACTCCCCTTTCACATCACTTCTTCTTGATTCACATGCAAATATCTCAACAGCTGTTCATCTCAGCAGTGCCTTTTTTTTATTTGTATAATCTTAACTTAAATGCATTCATATTTATTACCAAAACTGTATGTCAGTGGCACTTTAAATAAATTAACTTTAAGCCACAATAATGTTTACAGTTTGGGTTTTTCGATTTAACCAAAAATGATTGTATTTTTAAGTGATGTTTGCTCACATTTGGCTCAGTATAATAAAAAAATATATATATTCTTACACAGTTTACTTGCTGAATTGATATGTCCACGTGTTTATTCCAGAGACTGATGGGGCCTGATGGTATGTCCATGGTCAATGGGACAACAGGGGTCCACYGTGAGGAATACTGGACAGAAGGGGGTTCAATGTCACAGGTCAGGCCTCCATCCCCTCAAAGTCAGGCGCAGGTCCAGTCTCAGCCTCAGAGACAGGTCAGCGATGTCTACTCCAACACCCTTCCTGTCCGCAGGCCTGCCCCTGCTAAGAACAAAAACCCAGTGGGTAAGAGACCCAAACATACTTTAGAGTTGGTCATGCACTGGTACCTCCAATAAAAATATTAAAGAAAAGCAACCATCATCTCAAGTTGTTTATTTCATAAACTGAATATACAAAAGCAAGTTTTAAGGTCAAACTGTTCCTAAAAATAAAAACCTTAATTTAACACTCTTGACCCGTTTCCTAATCACAAGTAATTAAAATCTCCACAGGGGAGACAAGGACCCTGCCCAGGTCCAGTTCCATGGCAGCCGGACTGGAGAAGAACGGACGCTCTCGTGTGCAGGCCATCTTCTCTCATGCTGCAGGCGACAACAGCACTCTGCTCAGCTTCTCCGAAGGAGATGTCATCACCCTGTTGGTGCCTGAAGCCCGGGATGGCTGGCACTACGGAGAGAACGAGAAGAACAAGATGTAAATATTAATGTAGTTTCTATTTCCGGAGTCCATATTGTGAAATCCTAATGTTTATTGCAAATATCAAAATGTATTTTTTTTCTTCCCTCTCACCAGGCGTGGATGGTTCCCATTTTCCTACACACGTGTTCTGCCTGAGAGTGATGGTGATAAGCTCAAAGTGAAGTATGAGCCCTTTATTTTTTTAAAATAAGAAACATGTCACCGTAACAAAAAAAAAAATAAAAAATACAACAAATGATTTTGAGTCTTAGGCTGCTGTTTTCTTCCAGTTCCAGCCTRCACCATGGAAAAAGCAGCAGCACAGGGAACTTGTTGGAGAGCGATGCATCACTGCCCACACCTGACTATGGCCTGACTGCCCGACTGCTGGCACAGAGCCTAGCACAGACCCGCCCACGGCCCTATAGCATGGCAGGCTTTGGTCCACAGGTAGTACATCATGTAATARCCATCATTCTACTCTTGGTACACTTGTTTTGTTAATTCAAACCTCTCTACTTTAGACCTTTTGTTGCATAATTGAACACGAGTAAAKCTGCAGTACATGAAAGAGTTTTGTCCAGTTTCTGCTGCCACCTAGTGTTTTCATTCAGAACTAACAGTTGTTTAACCAAATCTGTTACCATTTTTGACAGCCTGCCATTGAGGATTATGACAGCCGCTTTGCCACAAGGTAAGTGACTTGACTGCCTTTCTCGCCAAATATTGACTCATGCTGTATGATCGCCACTGCTTCTACTAATCAGAGACTTACAGTTTGAAAGAGTTACAGTAACCGGCAAGACGACTGCCTCACTTAAAACTAGTTGTTGCAGTTTAATGCCGCTTGCCATAATTTTATGAGTTATTAAAGGATAAATTCACATGAGTGTGAAGTTTAATTGCAAAGTATTCACACTCTGTTTTCTTTATTTTAACACAGCATTGCTTTGGGGTTGTTTTGGTTATTTGTCACATTGAAAAGACAGTATGTTAGGATATTTGGTATCACTTTATAATAACTACACCTAATTTAGCCTTACTTAATCAGTACTAATTGTTAGTTAATCTTGAAAGCACAATTTATTATGAATGATTAATACTTAACAAGCTATAAATTGACACGTWTTAATGATTTACGCGTTTGACTATATCTCTTGAARGGGTTGTTCRGAACTGTAATTTCCTTTCATGGGATCAATAAAGTTTCATTCATTCATTCATAAAGGCTAATTACTTCCAAAACCAACATAATACATGTTTATTCATACTTAAATAACCATGATTTAACTATTCTTTATGCTTTGAATGTACGTTATGTAATGTGTTAGACATGTTAAGAGAACATTTGAGTTGATTATCTACTAATCCTGCAGTGCATCAAGAATTAAGACAGTTGTTAGTAGTCTTTTTGTGAACCCTTCTAAAGTGAAGACTAGTTATGCTTTTTAAYTATTAATGTAGATAAAATGCTTAAGGGCCACACGATACCTTTTATAACCTGTGGAAATCAGATGAAAATCCTAGTCAATTTAAACATTCTCTCATCATTAATACATGTTGAGCACATGGTGTGAAAGTACATTTATATGAGCATTTGCATAATACATACACATATCACGGAGTACTTTTTATTCTTGGATCTTGTGTTTCTGTCTAGGTAAAATAAACATTTCCACAACATATACAATAGTTTTATTAATGAGTTATTAAGCATAAACAATGCGTGTGTAGGTTCTGGAAATATTTTGTGGGTATTTCTCTTTATGGGTAAAGCATTAATAAATGTGTTAATTTATTTATAAGTATGAATCATCTTTTTTTTATTTAAGGATGTTTTCAAGGTTAACTAASCATTTATTAGTGATAAAGTAAGGCTAAATAAGGTATAGTTATTAAAAAGTGTTACCAGATTTGGTTAAGTCCTGAACACACTTTTGTTTTTTTGTTTGAAAAGGACCTCTAAGTACCTTCAGACGCCATTTATTTATTTATTTATGACTGAAGAGCAGTGACACTTCTAGATTACTAGTTATAAGAAAGTTCTCTTAAGTTGTATAGTTTAACTTAAGTTGTTCACGTTTACTGGTTTACTGTCTATTTTTCTTCTTTACGTTCTCCTGAGGCAATTTTAAACAACTGTTTTGAATAGCTGAATTAAATATGGTTTAGCAGGATTATTTTTTCCCAYTTTTTCCAAGTATTAGCTGAGTGTTTTTAAGTGTAATCTAGTTAGGTTTTTGCTCACAAACAGGTTTATTTGATGAAAAGGAGGTTAAAAATTGCACCATGCTTCTTCCTGTCCAGTCAGGCAGTACATCCTTATGTAAATGTATATAAATGTGTGTGAACTGGTTTATTTATGAGTGTGTCTGTGTGTGTGGAGGGGTAATGAGTGAGACATAGAAAACTGTCCTGGTTTGGATGTGTACTGGTGTTTTTGGAGTATACAGTACATGTTGTGACAGTAGACATCACGCTGACCTCATCTCAGTCATCAGTGCTCGTCAGCCTGGGGCTTTGGGCACCAGTGTCAAGCTTTTACACACACTCCTGTCTGCTCTAAATGTTTGTGTGTTTTTACTCTATATATATCTTGAGACAARAGGGTGTATTCACCCAGACCTTTGAATCCTACATCCCTCCAGCTATGACGTAATAATTTCCTCATCAACAGCAAATATTTGTTTCTGWATTGGTTTTATTTTACTGTTRGAGGGGAAACACGACCAAACAACTGTCTTAATTTGGAGACCAGTTTTGAACCAGTATTGCTCTGATGGTGTTGATGATGGAATTGAAAGTCTGATCTTCCTGATTTGGGTGGGTGGGTTTGGAGTTTGTAGGTGGGGGTAAGACAGAGTTCCTGACCACCCCCCACCTGCACTTCTCCTCAGCCCCACCCTGCCTCACTGTGCCTGTCTTGTCTCTCTCCATTTCTCTGAGTGTGTCCGACCTGGCAAGCTTCCTTCTCTCTTTGTTCCACAGTGACAGTCCTGATGGCAAATTGATTTCGACTGTGTGAGAACAGACATACAGACAGAAACAGACAGCTCCGGATAGCACAGGGGCCTCCTCCTCCTCCTCCTCCTCCTCCCCCCCATCTTTCCTTCCTCTTCCCCTTCCTCCTGTCCACCTACCTCCACCTCTTCTCCTTCTGCCTCCACACACACCCCTTCTCCGATTGGAAGAGGCCAGTTTCATCCCTCCTTTCTGTCCTCTCTTCCTCCCCGGGTCCTTCCTTTCCTCCTCCTGTCCGTCCTGGGTGCTGCTGCTGGTGGCGTCGGTGTGGACAGTAGCGGCTGGTGGGTGGAGGATTGCGTTGAGCGAGAGACCCTGAGTGGGACCTACCTGCTCGGCATGCAGCGTTACGGACTCTGAAAACTCTCTTTGATCACGGTCCACCATCATGGACTGATCTCTCAAGAGACTGCCTTTGCTACTGCTCGTCTTTCATGCATGTACACGGTTGTGTCATTTTTGTCCCAAACTGAAAGACATGTTCATGTACTGTACAAGTGCCAAAAGACTTCAGTGTCGTCGTACTTAAGCCACTGACTGAATGGCCTTCCCAAGCACCATGAGGCCAGATGTTGTCGAGATCTCATCCAAGACAAAAACGCTCAAAAAGCTTTGTTCCAAGTAAAGCTCAAAGGCTGTCCAGCAGCTTATGTTTCTGTTTTGAGAAATTCCCATAGGTCCTGCTGTGCTTCCTTGTGTCAGTGATCAGATTTTCTGTCCAGAAGATGTCATGTTTGCCTTACTTTGCTTTTCCCCTCCTTTTTTTTCCTCTCCCTCTATTAAACACAATTTATGTGCAATGAAGCAAATTTTACAAGCTTCTACATTAAACGTTTATATATAGCTATATAAAATATTTCTGTCACTMCTTCAGTTTACTTTCTCACATTAAAATGTGTGCTTGATTAACCTTTTGCACCCTCAGACACACAAACTTCTTAAAAATCGTATTTATTTATTTTTTTCCTGGTTGAAATGACTGCCTTTATTCTGGATGACATAAAATCCAACACTAATTTTCTTTTAAATTATTTTATATTTAGCACCTGAAGCTGTAGTGATCTGCGTGATCTTTTGTTGAGTATCCTCAATCACAGCTGTTTACTTTAAAACAACACAGCTTTTTGCAGCTTTTACTGTTATTTACTATTGTATTCCCTGAGTGACTGTGTAGTGTTATTTTTTTTCTTTTCTTTTTTCTTTTTGGTCTTTTCTTAAAGAAAAATAAACACCTAACATATTTCTAGAAACAATGAACGCCTACTGATTAGCAAGTGTTTATCTAATGCATGCTGTGGAGGAAAACCGGAAAATGTGACGCTTCGAAAAAAAATTGACCTTGAATGTATGGTGACTTTTTACAAAACTATTCTAAATAAAACACACATCTATATATTAATAAACAGTCTGGTCTGTGGAGAAATCTGTTCTGCCAWTGAGGAGGCGTTCTTTACTATTTTGTTTTTAAAGTTGTTGTTTTTTTTCCTTTTATTGAATATAAAAAAAAATGAACCCTTTTGTGAGTAAATCCCAGTCCCAGCTGTGTCCCGTTGCATGTTCCATCCCCCGCACCTCCCCCTGCATCCACAGCATCTGTTCTTCTGACACTGTAGAAAGTGTGAGGTGGTGTGTTTGGCGTTTTTTCTGCCTGCCTATTTGTTTAGTTTTTTTGCCTGAATGTGAGTTTTATTTGGAATTGAATAACTTGACAATCTAGTAGACGTAACCCATTTCTTTTTATTTAATTTACAGTGAAATTTGTTTTTATTAAAAAAGGGGGTTGCATACAATATGGCATGTTGAGCATGTAGTGCGCGCTCGTGTGTTGCWTTTATCATTTCAGCTAGTTCTGGTTTGTTCGCCTCGCATCAGACTAACAAGTGTCCTTACGAACTGTGATCCATGCATGATCTGAGTTATGAGCCATTCAAACCCAAAGGTTCTCTTTACCTTCCAGTTTGGGTCCAGAATTATCCCGGTTCTGAGGGAACAGGACCTCCGTAAGTCACCAGTCTCCATCACCTCCTAACCAACCATTCTTTGTTTTTTTCTTCTTCTTCTCATTGTTAATGRCCACACTTCTGTTTTCACTGGCTGCGGTGGGGAAAATGCTTTTCTGTGTCTGGTTTGCACAATCCAGCAGGCTTTTTTTTTCTTCTTTTTTCTCCATGACACCAACAGAAACAGTAACCCTCCATGCTGTTGCAAATTGTTACTCTTTATTTTCACACTTCATGCTTGCTCTCACAAAACCTTTTGCTTTGATTTACAGTTAAATAAAAAATGGGTTTGGGGGTACTAAACTGACCTTTTGTGTATATATATATTAAAAAATGGTGATTTTTGTTCATGCTAACTACAAGTGTTCCCTGTCCCACCCCTCCTCTCCCCGCAGTGACCGTTCAATAGAGGTCTTCCTCCGGCCCAACTTCACTGATGACCGATCTGCACCCATCTACTACTAGCAGCCTGCTGTTTCCCCCCCTATTTTCTCCACTCAGGGCTACGTTTCCCCACCGAGAGGAAAATAATAGCCATTATAGGCCTGTGTTAGCACAGGAGAGCCCAGAGGTGGGATC